TTCAGGAAAAAAATGTTTTGTTTCTGAAACATAGTTGGAGAGATACTATAGCCATAAGGCAGGTGGGTAAACATCCTGTCAACATGCTTCAAAACCAATGTTGAAAATTAATGTCACGCATCCTGAAAGCCCAGGATACCTTCCTTGAGTCATAGTGTACAGATTTGCATTCAATTTATATCCCATTGTTTCAATTTAAGCTGAAAAAAAAAAGCATATTGCAAGGCTGAACGAGCCACGAATTTACTACACTGTTCATTATCTGACTGAAACAGGGCTGCATGTTAGATCATATCAAAATTTGAGTTGATTATTTTCCCTCTTCAATCAGTAGTTTGCAAAGTGAGAGACTGCCTCACTCTGCAATCGTTAAGTCTTCTTTTACATGACTTAGATAATGACTAACTCCTTTAACTTTGAAACAAAAGTTCAAAAGCTGGTTATAAAAGTTATAAAATGACTATAAATACACATAAAGACATGATATTAAAAGTACAGAGAACAAATGGTCCTGTTACACCACACTATCCATAAATTCTACTGAGCAAACTGGGGAGCAACTGAAAAATAATTTCCCCCAGCTGACATGCCATAACCAGGCCTGCCATTTAACTAATAACCTTTGAGGTTGACGTAACGAGATACATCATTTGATATTATGACATGTCAGGGTCCGTAAACTAGAACAGACATCAACACAGATGGATGCTGTATGGCATCACAGTCCTCTGATCCCTAGTTGAATGGACTCTGGACATTTTAACTAAAGTGTGTATTTAATCATATGAATGATGCACATTAAAGACTAAAAACACTAAAATTGTGTTAATTCAATGTTATGAAAAACCCAGATTTGTAAGCAATAATTCAAGAAGCAAAAACTAAAAATCTCTTTTCTGACAAGACTGAAATATAAATGAGAAAAAATGTCAGCTACTCCTCAGTTCTTTAAAGTGCACAATCAGACAAATCAAGCTTATCCTTTAAAGTTTTTACCTGAATTTGCTTTGAGTCTGAGAAATGAAGGATTTTCAGAAACAACATTAAAACTACATGCGTTTTTAAATGAAAAGTGTTAATTATCAACACTATGTCTATTAAAAAGATTTTAACTCAAAAGTGAATACTGAGATATTCTTTTAGATATTGGATCCTATGATATGAGTAGCTTGCCTCAATTCAACTTGATCTGTATTCAATTTGACTTTCTTAATGTCCCGTCATCATTTCTGGCTCTTTTTTCATACTTCTGTGCAGGTTTCATACAAAAATCAACTTCTCAGAATACAGCCAGAAGGTTCTGTAACAGTAGCTGCATGACTCCAATGCTGAAAGGGAAACTCAGTTGTTGTGGGAGCACAACTGAAATAGGAAGAGATTGAATTTGAAATACAATTTACTGACAAAGCAAAACATAATGAAGTTCCAAGGCCCCCCTGCTGGCTTTAATACTCCTTTACTCCAGCTCTGTAATGCTACTTAGCCTGTTTTGAACTTTTACCCTGCTGTGTCCTTCTCATGCAAGGTGAGAGCGGTCCAACAGGCTGCCATCCACATCGCATGCTGTACAGCAATGGATTGTTATTCAAGTTAAAGTAGTAGTTTGGGCAACTTTATCGACTGTAGCTTGACGCATTAAGCACAAATTATGGCATGTATGTCTTAATATTTCAGCTACTAAAATAAAGGAACAGAGAGTACATAAAATATGGCCTATGCAGAGAGCTCTGTGTAACCAAACCACCATTTGTTCGAGACCGATAATTTGTAATAGTTTGTAAATACCCATTCGTCTTAAAATCTCCACTAAAATCAGGAATAAAGATATTCTAACCCTCATAATTCTGTCAATAAGACTGATTTAGTTTTTTTTTTCCCCTTCTTCTTCTTTGACCTGCCTTCATTATCTCCACTGTATTGGCTTTATAAAGCTTTGTTATAAATATCTCATTATTCCCATAGCCTGTTTTGTGATGTCAGTATCCATTACTAGATCTTGCACATCAAATTAGTTGACCACATAAGCTTCCTTTGATCAGAGGGACCTTTGTAATGAGGACAGTCATAGTAAATAGCTGTCCTCAGATGACCTGCTATTATGTTCCCAATATGCCCGTCTCTCCCAGAACACCCCTTGATATGTTTATAACTGCATTTTTGCTGGTATAAGGCAAAGACAGAGGTTCTTGGATACAATGAAGGATGATTAAAATGAAAAAAAAAAAAAGAAAAATATATAAAAGCCTCCACGATTGCAAAACTTTGACACACTTAATGAGCGCACTCAAATCTTGCCAGTTTCATAAGTTCAAGTTCTCCTCCACAGAATATCCAATTTCTTCAACTGCTTGCAGCAAATACATTGCCACATTTCAAGCAAATGAAAAAGCACAACTGTTCACTGTGAAGCGATTAGATTTGACACATTCAGTTGTTTGACAGTATCAAGTCATGCAGGGCTCTTTAATGCCAATGCCCTTCAGGAGTGTTCTTGATCAGACCTGGCTGCTCTGGCAATGTTAACTGTCTTGAGTTTAAATCCTTTTTAACAGCATGGATAAAAAATTTACAGGTCAGGCACAGCTGTAATCTTTGAGCATCTTATATTTCAGCTCTGTCCAAATATATTCCTGCTGATTTAGAGTTTACAACCTCATATCATCTCAGGATTTTATATATATATATATATATATATATATATATATATATATATATATATATATATATATATATATATATATATATATATATATATATACACACCATGCAACGATTTGCATACACTTCAAAAACAGTGTACAGGTGGTGAATTGTTGATAAGACCAGCTAAGCCATCAACAGCTTGTCCTTGTTAGTCTTCAACACCAGAAATCCTGAGACAAGAAACATGAGATACCACCAGCACTATAGCGACAGCACTCTTGCAACAAGAGGACTCGTATAAATACATATGACACAGTTCACAGACTTGGTAACGGTCCACAACAGTGAGATGGAGACATGTATTATTAGACCAGTCATCGGGTCTTCAGCTAACCTTTCCAACTCCTGCTCTGTTTAGCAGTGTTCTGGAGCTGTTGTTGTAATTTGGATCTGGTGTCAACCATAATCCTCAGTCTGACAGGTGCAAGGATAAATATCAAATCTCTGTCTGAGCAAGTCAAATTTAAAATCCCCAAAAGCAGCAAAGCAATTACACCGAGTGTCTTTGGAGTCGCAATGCAAGGGAAAAGATAAGGATTGGGTTTTTAAACGTTTATTGTTTAGTAACAAATAAACTGAAAAATTTATTTCCAATGTTAAGTTGCATTCACATAGCAACAACAAGAATTTTTGGCCCTCCTAGTAAATACATGCAAAAAGCCATAAAATATGATCCCATACTGTAACAAAATGGTAAGATTCTATAGTTATTTTGAGTACATTTATGAAATAGGTAACCTATTGCATTGCTAATAACGGTTAGTGTGATAAAAAAAGATTTAAGACCAATTTACCATTTCTGTAGAACTTTGCAAAAGTACTCACACCCCATAAACTTTTCATATTTGATGACATTGGGGCACAAAATGGCTAAAACCTACTTATAACTGAGGATTTGTTTGTGTGACTTTATGCTGATCGATTACGCAATCTGCAGTCTTGAGGTATAACAGGAGAAAATTAGTTAAATATTCAACAACTATAAATACATTTACAAAATTTCTTTCTTCAGAAAGTGAGAAAGAAAAACAAATTCCCAAAGGTGACATGCCACAACCATGACTGCCGGTTAATTGGACAACTGAGATTCTAACTCTCATAATTCTGCCATTAAGGCTCATGTAGTTTTTCTTCTTCAACCTCCCTTCATTACCTCCACTGCAATGGCCTTATAAAGCTCTGTTATAAAAATCTTATTATTCCCAATGCCTGTGTAGTGATGTCGGTATCCATTACTACATCTTGCACATCAAATTTGTTGATCACATAACCACACACTGCAGTTGGGTCAGATGTGAAACTGAAGAAGGAAATGTGGAAAAATAACTTCATGTTCGCTTTTTAGAAAGGTAGAGGATATGTCATGCCACAGGCTTGTTTCTCCAAAAATAATTCCTGGTAAATTTGTTCATAAAAATCTGGAGTCCTATACAGGAACATAAGTGTTGGGGGTACTGTATATTTATAAGCTCATCTGGTATAAAATCAAACTTACACCGAGAAAAAAAAAAAAGATTCTCACTCTTGTTTTTTTAATTATTATTATTTTAATCTCTCTGGCTTGAGCCTCCATCACAGCCAGCTGTTTGGAGTTGGTGATACTTTCTCAGAAACAACTTCTGCTTCTTTGTACTCGGTGTTCTTAATTAAGCCAGTGAGAATAGCACAATTGTCCATGTTAACATGGGAATAATATTTCTCAGTAACACTTTTCATGAACACAGACTCCTCCAAATACGCAGAACCCTGTAGTCAAATAAAGTGAGGAAGGATATTAGTTGCTAAACAACATTTTCCACCACAACGCCACTTTGTAGAGGACACAGCGGAGGTGATTCATTTTAGTGACGTCACCCATATAAAAAAGATAGGTATAAAGGTTCAAAAAGGTTGACTTTTTGAAGCAGTTATTTTGTTTTAAAGCTTGACATTTTTCTGTGTAATAGATTTGAACACAAAGGATTTCCACAAATGTTTCTTGTAAAAATATATTTTTTTCAGTCAGACTTTCAGAAAGACTGGTCAGGATTTAAATATGGATGCACAGATGAAGATCTGTGCAGTTCTACATTGTAAAAGGACGAAAGTTTTGAAGAGTTGTTTTGCGTATGTACAAAGAAAAATTACCCCTCTAATGTCCTCTACAACATCAGAGCACTAATGTTTTCAATGACAAATGTTAAGAAAAAATAATCAGTGTGCATCTACACCAACAGGTGTTCAAGAAATGCCATGCTTCGTCTCACTAATGAGTCTAAGTTTGCGCACAGTGTCGGCGTTTTTTTTTATCTCTTCACCTGATTGCTCTTAAAGCTTGTGTTTCCTTGGGTGGGTAGTGGGACAGCAGGTGGTGCTGGGGCCCGTCTCTTCTTGGACTCAGCTTTGGCATGCATCGTGGGAATATCAGTGAAGGACTGAGACTGCTCCAGGGAGCCTGGATGTCCCTCTTTATAGGAGACCCCTGACACAGTGGACAAACCCTGTGGGTTAGAAGAAGAATAACAGGAGAGAAGAAATCAAATCTCAAATAACATGAAAAAAAAATGTATATGCATATATGTGATACACTAAAGACCAATTTAGGTTCTATTTAATACCCGTGTCATAAAATGCTGAGAATAGAAATAGATCTTGCACTATTTTATGATTAAATCTTCCTTCAAAGGATTGTTTTCATTTTTTTAATAATCATTTACTAATTTCAATGTTTACCTGTAGTCTACCAAGTTTAATTCAAAGCTGCTACACACTCAGATACTCAAACATAAAGAGACCGACAATATAAAGTAATTCTTTGGTCATAACTAATATTGCAGCATTTGTGTGATCAAGCTGAAAGTGCAAGCTTACTTTCACAGGGTGACTGCTCTTGACTGAATGCACTTTAACAGAAAAACAGAATTGAATGTGTGATCAAAGGCAGCCTTGAGTGCTCCTGAAAATCTGAGCCTCCCTGTGGCTCAGCTTGGTACAGAACCTTGGCACAACAGGGGCACCACACCAGGGTGTGCAGCCCCATGATCGAAGTAGAATGTTTAAAAGCAAATTAAGCAATGGGTTCAGACAATGCCTGAATGTGGGATAAAAGAGCAAGACGGAACATTACGTTCCGATCACTTGAAGTAACAATACCCATGGTCAAAACATGCCATGATCAGGAGGAGAAAAGAAAAAAAAAAAGTATTTCTTTAATAAAGTCCCAGAAACTGAAGTAAAGAGAAGCAAGCTCAGACGACAACCACAATACACTAGGGGCTTTTTGTATTTTGCTATAAAGAAACATTTTTCTACACTGTAATGTACAAAACATCCCACAGTCCTGACCTTATCTGCCACTAGAAAAAAAATGAAATAAATCGGTAAAATACTTGCAAAGTGGTACAACTCTTCTTTGACTGAACAGTTCTCTCTGTGGTATGACAGATATGTTCACAGAATGACAGGATAAGAGACAGGCAGAAGGAACTGTGGCAGGCAGCAAACTGAGTGATGAAAACACAAAAGGGATGCTTGAGGGGAGGCTGATACATTTGGAATCCCCAAAAAAGAACACATTTCAAGTCGGGGAAAAAAAAAAAAATTCAAAGGAAGAAATTCGCATGAACTCTATCTGACTTTTTCACCTGCTCACTCCTTCTCCATCGACCTAGTTAAAAACATGAAAACTGCGAGTGGGTAAACTAGATCAGAACGTTCTCTGGCACTTGGGAAGGGAACACAAGTCAGCATCGCATTCATAATAACGATGAGAGCGATACAAAAAGAACCAAAAGGAGCATCATTTACATACTCCATCTTGTAGTGATGCCCATTACTGAGAGCTATAAATAGAAAATAACACATTAGCAAATAACTTAAGGTACTTAAAAACAAAGGTGGCTTAGGACAACAATTAAAAGTGCCAACGCCTGCTGTGATTTGAACTTTGAGGACTTGTTTTTGTGCTACCATTTAAAAGTTACTGAATGGAAAGTGCGCAGTATTTCTCTGCCCTCTGGTTGAATCTTTCAAGTCGGCTTCATCTAACATCACAAGTCCATGTGCGTGATTGGAGGGGGAAGGGAAAAAAGCTGAAAAGGCTGAGTATTTTATAGACCTCAGAAAATGAATAACTGACAGAATGCATGAGGGAGAAATACAGAAACCTTTTTAAAGACTTCACAGGGTTGGCAGAGTGCAGAGGGAGAAGACACATGCTCTCGCAAATATTATAATGCAGTAGAGTTCATGCAGAGTTTATAGGCAAAGGGGGTTTAGATCTTGAGTACTTTTAGAGAATAATTATAAAACAGTAACCTACCCTAAAACATGAATACGAATCATCCAATATTTGATTAAGTATTTACTTCTCATTAACATGTTCCAAATCTAATCTGACATCCCTAAATAAATTAAAAACAAAAAATTTAAAATAACATAAATCAGTAAGAGTTTTTTGCAAAGCAGTTCGGCAAAGTTTGTTAGAGTAGATTAGGCAAGAAACCCATTAGCCAGACAGACTACAGACAAACTGTAAACCAACACAAGATGGCCTGTCCACTTAGACTGACAGGCCGAGCCATTGCGCGTTAATCAGAGAAGCAGCCACGAGATCCGCAGCAGAAAACCTCAGCTCAAGAACCTGCCGACAAGACAACTGTTAGTCTTACAGTCCACAAATTTAGCCGTTACTGATGAGTGGCAAGAAGAAAGCCTTTGCTGAGAAGGGGGATATATGAAAAGGTCGAGCGTGCAGATTAACACAGACCATGGAAGAGTCAGCAGCAAATGTGGAAGAAGGTGTCCTGGTTAGATGAGAGCAAAACTGAACATTTTATGTGTAAAAGAAGACCAACACCGTCTGCTGGCACCCTACATCATGCTGTAGGGTGCTTTTCTTCAGCAGGGACAGGAAAGCTGATCAGAGTTGGAGTGAAAATGAAAGGAGCAATGGTTCATGTTCCAGAAGGACATAATGCCAGAGGTACAGTTAAGCTCATCATTTAGTTTGAAATCTATTTTTCATTCAAACTGGATTATTTTTTCTTATCCTGGTTGAAAATGACAGGCATATCCTAAAATAAACTTTTTTTTCTTTTTCACCATGTGGAAAGTCTTGTATAACATTTATACTGGGTGAACTGGAACTTGGACACTTGGATGCAGCCTTATAGCCCTTTTTTGAGTTGTGCTAACAACTCAGGACCTTTGGGTGATTTGTGAGCCATTTCAATATGGACAACTGTCCATATTTCAATGCATGGACAGTCACATGGACGGTTGTCCACTCATTAAAATGTCATGGTTAGTTAGTGTGACGTACAATCTTTCATTTTTTCACTGGCATACACTTGAAGGACACTGTCACATAAATGTAAGGGAAACAAAAAAAATTACTTTTTTTGTGCTGAAATCAATGGCTCACTTAAGCATCATATTCTGTCACAAAACTGAATTAAATTAATACTTGGTTTTAATTTTTAAGTAGCAGACCTCCATTTGAAACATAATTACCCAAATATAAGAATATGTGAAATGTTAGTTTCTCGGACCACACACTCTTACCCTGACCTACACAGTAGTTTAGTCCTTAATGAACAATTACAGATAAGAGGCCGGGCTTTTACTGCTAATGTAGCCAAGGTAGTGTAATTTGATGCCTTCAAGCTGATAACACAGCATGTATGGGTGGATGGATGTGTGTGTGTGTTTTAGTGCACAAATGCATGTGTGTGGTCTGATAACAGTCAGTGAATGAAAAACAATCATATCAGAGACGAAAGCCAAGCTGCATTGAGGTCCACTGATAACGATAAGGCTAGGAATGAAAATATCTATAAATCAAACTTAGCTGCCACTGCCTTAGATACATTTTGGTATTTGGATGACATCATAAAGACTACACAATGCCCATTACATTGTGTTTTGCACACATAAATGCCTTCCTTTTTTTAACACTTCCTGACTAGGTTCAAAAGTTTTCATTTTCATCATTTTAAAATAATTACAGAAAGAAAATGAGGCATACAAAGAAAAATATGCTACAACGCATCATAATCAAGCAGACCGACAATGTGGGCAATGCAGAGTGTTAGTGATATGACAGAAAACAGGAGGGCAGAGCCAAACCAGCAGCTTTTTAACTCAGTTAATCTGACCAGCAGAGAGTCAACCAGCGTTTCTCTACCTAATGCAATTGACTCCCTTCTTAATGAAGTTATGGGTGAAACAAGCAGACCTCAGCAGCCACGAATCTGTTTCACAGTGGCATGGTTACGGGAAGTTTTATGTTGATGTTTAAACCTGAAATAATTCGTTGCAAACACATCTATCAAGGATTCTAATTTCACAAAACATTTTCAGATGTTCAAACCAAGAAGCTCCTGATTTTAACTTTCTGACTGTGTTTAGGAATAAGGTTCACTGCTCTCCATTTACAATTCTATTAATAACAACCGGTGTACCCATCTGTAGTAATTGTTCAACTTGTAATTAAGTGTTTGCATGTAAAACAGGTTATTTTTCTACATTAACATGACAGAGGTCTGCTTACAAATGTAAAGACAGTTGCTGCCCTCTGGAGGAAAAAAGAAAACCATGTTCTTGTACTGCAGATATGGTGACCAATTTTTTTTAATGACCGAGTTTAACGAGAATAAACACGTACTGCAGATCCACGTTTTGACTTTCATCAAAAGGATGTCCATAAACCACAACATTGTTCAAGCATGCAGTGTTTCCAGTTGCATGTTAATTTATGTCTTTAAATGACAGAGAATATTCATGTTTTAATACTGGAAATGTATGCCTTCAATCAGAAAAAAAAAAAAAAAAACTACCATTGTCTTGCAAATTTGCAACTTTTCTACATCAGGGATTTTTTATGTGGCCACATTATTTTTTCTTTGCTACACTATGATCCTAATTCTCAGACGTACAAAAGATTAGACCTATCAACATACAAATTATTTTTTACCTCACACAATGCTGTTTGTAACATGCTGCACCAGTTAGAACTGCTGAGCGAGAATAAAAGTCTTGGAAACAACGCAACATTAAATTTTAAGTAACTATAAGTCAAGAACAAAATGAGTCCAAAAACTTGCCGAATCAATAAGTCTTTGAAGTTTGTTTCTCAATATATGCTGCAATCAACTGTTCACACTATCCACTCATAAAAATAGTTGAGTAATTTTGTAACTAATTCAGGTGAGATTAATACAAATATTTTAAATACTTACATTGAATTTTGTGTCTGAACTTTGAACTGCAATATCATCAAAGTCATCCATGTCCAAAGACTTATTGTCAGTCTGCAAATGGAAAGGAATACACACATGCAGCATTCAAAGACACACCCATGCATTTAGTTTTTTTCAAAGCATTTTCTTTGGCTTTTTTACATTAGATAGCAATCTGATCCACAACATCATCATTGATAAGAATGTAATCTTAAAAATGCTTCTTTCTGATGACAGATAAATTTTTGAGACAGCTTCAAAAATTCACATTTGTATTTAATACAATTAGAGACAGCAGATATTTTCAACATTATAGAAATAGACACTTTGTATCTATCCAAAAGTATGACAATAATTCAAGGAATGTGCCTTACAACTTGGTTCAGAGGCTTTTATTTTATTTTACTTTTTTTACACAATACAGGTTTACTTTTGACTGGCAAATAAATTAAATACAGATGTTTGATTAGTTGACAAAATGGCTGCCTGTTACTTTAGAATTTGCGAAAATGCTCCCTACATGTGACATTTAAAATCTTACCTTTGATTTCCTTTTGTTGAATGTGAAAATATTTAGCAACCCTTTCTTTTGGGGTCTTCCCAGGCTAGCAGTACTGGAATAAAAAGAATCTACAAAAAACAGAAAAAAGGTAGAGTATGTGGCGTTAGATATAGCATCATTAAGTCATATTAAAGGAGTTAGGGGCAAGTGTCATTCGGAAACTATAGCAATGCAGATTACAGTTATAAAGAAGTCAATATAACTAAATAATAACTAAACATTTAATTCAAATTGTTTTTTTACATTACTTTTACACAAAAACATCCAAAAAGTGGTTTTAATGAATAAAGAAACTAGTTCAATTGTGCTATCTTACTTTATTACCAGCAGAGGGCACCAAAACCTAATTGTTTTATACCAGTTTGTTTAACCTTCACATGTTAAACTGATGTTCCACAATAAAAATGCTATTTTCGTGCCATCCTCCTGAGCAATGATACGTTTTGGTCTCAAAATTATCAGAGCTAATTAAGTTTATTGCAATTATTCAGAAATAAAAGGTGCCAATATGGTTCACACATACTACAACTAAAACCTCACACATTTTTTTTTAACAGTCTTACTACAAGCAGCCTACGAAGCCTAATAAAAGCACCAAGAAGACTTTGTTAATGAGAAAGCAGCAGTAGATTAGGTTAAACAGGCATTGGGGGTTAGTTAGCACCAGCAACATGGAGGACATATACCTGAGTTGTTCAGAACAGGGGCAGAAGCCATTTTAGGCTGTAAAACTGGAAGAAAAATTTCAAAAAAGACTGAGTCATTGATACGTAACCTGCATTGCAATAAACTGATAAATTGTTTGTGCTCTGTGGAGACTTTCAAACATCTAAAAATACAACGGACTAAACTAATGTGGAGGATACTCACACAAATAAATAATTTTACAGTACCCGGATGAAAAGATGCATACCCTTGTGTTTGAAATGCACCAAAGTGTGATGTGATAATGTACATGTCTAGAACACTAAGATTAGTGAAAAAGTTTTAAATGAAGTGAACGTTCCTGCCAGGGACTGCATTAAGAAGTTAAAATTACATAACTGCGTTTGACCATAAACATGACATAATGTTTTGCTTGTATCATTCTGCACCACACCAAGAATTTCTGTGATAAAAAAAGAATCTTTCTGGCTTTGGTTTCTCAGCATGACATGATTCATAAAATGTGACCTTGAATCTAATCGCAACTGAACAGATAAGACAAAAATACCCATATAAAGCAAGCCTTATTCCACTCAAAGTTGATATTTGTCACTTAAACCACCGTTGTAAATACAACACCACTTTAGAATTAGTGTTAATTTGGGCTAAGGTTTACCTAGACTCTGATCGTGGACATAGAGTTCTTTGATGCCCAGCTCTGTCAGAGATTTGTCCAGCGGTAACTTGTGGCGACTGATGCAGTCTTTCAGGAGAAGAACATGTGCGGGGTCAAAGTCACACTTGTCACAGATGGCCGGTATCAAAGCCTGGAGCGGAACCAGCGGGTTGACCCGTAACACGGCCTTCTGGTTGCCGTGGAAGTTCACCATCAACCGCACAGTTTTCTGAGATAATGATGGAGAGAATTAGTCAGTGAATCTAGGTCTACTGGTCAGACAAAAGCCTTATTAAGTAAAAATGTGTCAGTCAATAGAAAAACTCCAATTATTTAGTTGGACGATGGGAAAGTAGAAAAATAGCTCTTTGTACTTTTAATAAAAGAAAAAGTTGCAGATGCTTGACGGAAATAACAACAGAAAACTGTTTATATATGTGGTGCTCTTAAATGACTAGTGTAGTATGCACCAATTCTGTTGGTGCATACAACATCTCATCTGTCCTGCAAACTCATCTGTCCTGCATTATTTGCAAATCTTCCGGCATCATCTGCAGATCACAGCGAGCTTGAGACTCACAAATTCTCTTTATTATTGACAACATGTAATGTTGTCAGTAGTGAAACACTGACAATATCTCATACAATATTTCTGGAACAATATCTCATTTAAAAAAAGTTGATTGAGTCCATGCTTCATTAGATCAGAAAGATTGTGGCAGCACAATGGGAAATAAGTGATTGTAGCTAATGATTATTTTAGTAATCAATTCATCCAGTTAATTCTGACAATTAATTGGATTTTAAAAATTGACACATTCTGCAGATTGTTCATCTATATATTAGATATTATCCTTGTAGGGCTGCCGACTTATATGTTAGAAATGCATAAAAATGCAAAAGTAAAAAAAAAAAAATGGACTTGCAACTTGTTTTTACAATGATAAACAATTTATTGTCTAAACATCACAATACTTTAGTGCACTCTTGATCATTTGGAGTAAAAATGCATATTATCCTACATAAAAGATGTTTCTAACATCAACCTGTGAAAAGCTCAAGCCTTTTTGCTTGAATTAGGATCAATATAGAGCAGGGTTAACCAGTTGTCATTTTTTTCAATTGGCCAATCAATAATTGGATAGCAAAGGGTCAGACATGTAGGTTTTTCTTTGATAGAATTTGAACTGGGAAAATCGAAAACAATGTCACTTGAGGAGTTCAAGGTACTGTCTTTACAGACAAACTTTTTTTTTTTTTTTCACATTTTAAAAGTGTTTACATTTCCTATTTTGGCTCCAAATGCGTCACTCTTTCTTCAAATTAACTTATTGTAAACTCTGCATACTCCAGTTAATTAATCGACTACTAAAATAGCTGATGATCATTTCAATAATTGATCTAGAATTATTAATCAAATCAATTGTTTCAGCACTAGAAATAACTCCCAATTGGGAAACTACTCATAATGTTATGGTCGATTAGGATATTTTAACAGGGCATACCTATTATTGATCAACTGAGTAAACACTGATCCCAGATCAGTCCGACTTTAACTGCTGAAAAGCCCAACTGGTGAAGGGATAAAACAATAAATGACTGACAGCAGTTGTTGGAGGAGTGTTGGCCTCTGGCCTGAGGCCAGGTGGGGTCAAAGGCAGACAGAGCTGCCACTGAGCCCTGAGAACAGCAGAGAAATAATGCATGGTAACTAAAGGTAAGGGACTCATCAAATATTGAAACACCTGAGGAAAGCTAAGGAGAGGCAGATAAAAATACACAAAGAAAGAAACAGCTGAAGAGTGGAAAAAAAAGAGTAAGAAGTAAAATTACAAGCTTGAATGTTAACACAATCTGTAGAGTTTCCACTCAGAAAGACACATAAAAAATAAAGAGCGTATAAAGTTGACTCTAGTATGTACAGGCCAGCTTACAAGCAACCAACTTCCTACCTTAGCATGAGCCCTTACAGGTTTCACTGGCCTTGCCTTCTGCCAGTGGTCATTGGTACAAAGTGAACAGGGTGAAAGAAAGATTACATGGGGCCTCATTGCAGCAGCATAAAGTACATAATATGAACTATTGCTACGTAAAGTCATTTATTTTTTCTGGGATGTGAAATGTATTAACTGGTGGTTATTCAGATATGACTGAAAAAAATATGTTCTCTAATTAAAATATCTGCTTCATATTTAAGAAAATACCTTTGGCCACAACACAACATATAAGAATTGTGGCCCATTTTAACTGATTTCAGGTGAAAACGTATACAGTATTTTTTTTTTTAAATGACCTCAAGTAGATTTCAAAACGCACAACAAAAAGTGGGACCTGCTGCAACAAAAGAGGGATTCCCCATAACTCACCTCTGGCACTTTAGGAGCTGGTCTACGTGTCACTTTCTCCTCCACTATTTTCTCCTTGATGAGCACACAGGCCACATTGAAGGAGCCGAGCAGGGCGTTGGGCTTGAATCCCAAAGAGTGACCCTCGGGGGAAAGCAGCTCCAAGGTGTGCATTGATGGGTTGAGATGGTGGTGACCACACAGATCGACCAGCAAATCCATCAAAGGTTTACTGGGAGAAGGGGAAAAGAAAGAGGAATGAAAGTGTGTCCGGATAATGTGCGTGTGTGTGTGTGCCCGTCTGTGCAAGGACAGAATATTGGGTTACAAAGAATACCGAGCTTCAGCTTCACAAAAAAGGAAAGTAAAATATACCTAATAAACTGCAAATAAGCAGGACAATAAAGTTGTTTTCTTTTTGCCAGAATTAACTAGTTTTTCCTTTGCTTTTTGGAAAACCCATCATATGATGTCTTCATATCTAACTGGAGTTCATAGATGAGTAATGAACTACATTGTTCTAAACAATTTAAAACTATAAACAATAAGTTATTCATAAGCAAAATAAGTAGCAAATACATGTATATTGTTTTCCTTTTAAATGCTGACCAAATATTGCAATTTGCCTTTACTTTACTACTTGATCAGTTTGTCCATGTATCAACTAATAAACTACAAGGATTATCCAAGAGAAGACAACAGCAAAGAAAACAGTGTACTTATTCATTCATTTGCTGTGGAATCCAGTTGGAGAGAGCAAGTGATGATCAGGTCTATAGTAGTACTTGTCAATCTTCAGACAAAGAAATAAATGATCTCCTTTTGTGGGAAAATCCAGATCAAATGACATAACGCAGACAGATAGCACAACAAAGACTGCTGAAGAGAAAATCTCTGACTTTGGAGTCAGTGTACTCCATGTGTGGGCCTGAAAAGGTAACACAGTGGCATATAATTTTCATAATATTAAAACACTGAGGAGCAATTCATCAAAGTTAAGTACTCTGCTATTAGCCGTCCTAATGACTCCAGGTTTCTGAGTTGCATGCTACGTGTTATCTAGCAACATAAATAAAGATATGAGTTACACAACTAAATTATGTAACCAATTTGATAGGAGCGCTATACAGGGGCATTAAAATAATTTTTGATAAAACAGAGCTCAGTGTCAGTTCAACTCAGCAAATAAAAACACAAACACTGATTCTTTTAACCCTGTTACAATATGTCATCAGCTGTTCTCTACATAACTTTGTCTGAGTCAATATTCTTATACAAGAGTTAGAAAGAGATTTCTGTAAGTCAATGCAAATCATGATATAAATGGTAAACACAGCACATCGATTTGGATTCAATAAAATAACTAATTTCTAAAACTTTGTGAAATTGTTTTGATCCAAAACCTTCTAGAAAAACGTGGTTACTGCATGAAACATTGTTTCATGCATCTGAGCAAATTGGGATATGACTAAAAAGTGAATAAATCACGTACATAATTGTGGCGCACACATATGTCAAATGTACAGCTTTCTTATTATTTTTTTTTTTATTTTAATTTTACAAATGACCAATAAAGAAACAATTTGTCCATAGGTCATCGTCAAAGAAGCTGGTTGTATCTAGCCATGTTATTGGAAAGTTGAGTGGAAGGAAAATGGCTGGTAGACAAAGTAGTAAAAGCATGGAAAAACTGCAAAAAATGAGCAACTAATTTACACTTGTAAGGCCTCTGTTGCTAGAACTATATTAGAAATGTACAACCTACATACACAGTTGTTTTGCCATAAGCTGCTGAATACAGGCAGATTTGATTTTCCATAACTCCCACTATTAAAAACAGACACTGCAGTGAATGTTTCAAGAGGTTAAATGTCAAAGGGAAACTCTTCATATTTGGATTCTCTCGAAACTCTCCATAAGGAGCCTTTACTCTCCCTACTTACGTAAAAAAAATACATGAGTTACATTTATTGAACTGATATCTTGAAATAATTTGACTTCTTAATGATTTTCTAACTAACCAAGAAGCATCAGTACATTATATATGCAAAAATTGACCAGAGGAAAAATAAAAAAATTGTACACTGGTGGGAAATACAATTGAGACATCTGCTGGCCTTAAGATTCTACTTGGGTAATAAAGAGAGGCTTGTTGTTTTTTTTGTTGTTTTTTTTTTTAATCAAAGACATCCCCAATTTTCTGCCTCAGTAGAGGGAACCTCATTATGGAGTGCATTAGCAGGTCAGCTGACTGCACACCAGGACAAAAGCCTGTGCACTATGTAGAGAATGGCATGTGAACATTCACCAGGCTCCATAAAATAGGGCAACATCCATTTATCATATTCCAGTTTGGGAGTTTAACTCACATGATCCAACTCTAAGACTGAAAGATTTCTCGAGTTTTCAGTTTAAATAAAATAGCAGTATATTGTAGAACTTGCTTCAGCATTCACAACCAAAATACCTCGCAGATAAGAGCAATGGAAGGACAAAGTGACTGAACAAATACCACTGGAATTTGAGAGATTAAACATGCGCTTCAGTGCACTTTCATTGGACTAACCTTCCATCCTCTGTTACAGAAACCTGGTAGCCATGTGGTAGAGTTAGCTGGAAAACGACGGTGGGCTTTAGGATGTTTTCCTTAACATCCATGGCTGATGTCCCTCCTCCATCAGGTACAGGGTACCTGAACAAATGACGGGGAGCAGGTTGGGGGGCCTGCGGTGGAGGTGGGGCAGGAACTTTCATTCTCCTCCTGGATAATGACAAGTCCAAAGGTAAAAAAAAAAAAAGATACAGAAATATGTGACAGAAAAAGTTTCCAGGTGTTTTTCATTTCCTTTTTAGAAGCACTAATTTTATTTTTACTTCCATTTCAACTGAGACACTTTTGTTTCTCTTGAATTCAGCGCTGCTTACATAACAACCCAGACTTGTGAATGGATTCCACTGTTACCACCTCAAGAGCAGCCTGAATACCAATGCCATTTGTTTCTTCTGTATTTCTGACTTTGGTGCAGTGTTGCACCAAAGACATCATTCATACTACAACAGAAACTGAAATCATCTGTTTGGTCATCAAGATGTTTAATCTTTGGACAGCTACGGATTCAACGTGATTCTAACTAACTAACAATGTCTGCAGATTCTCCTACTGCTATCTCTCCTATATCCCAGACCGCCCACACTTCTATGAAATGCATCTGTGTCATTTAGTTCTCACCTTTGAATTTCATTCCATCACACCCCTCATAAACATCTCTCTTTTCAATCTTATTGCAGCTCTGGGTAGTTATTTTGAATAAAAATATGCAGTAACAGATCGTTATAAAAAATATAGTCACCTATAAACCTATAACACACCTGATGAATCATAGTTTTCCAAAATGAAACTTGGAAAGGACTGGCTACTGCTACCAAGGTAAACAAAGGGTTTAAAGTGTGAGCATTTCACGACAAAAATTTGTTTCCGAGGCAATAAAAAAAAATTCCATCTGTATCCCTGTAAGTGTAGATTAATGTACGACTGCCCTTCCCCCACTTACTGCTATGCACCACTTTTTTGATGTCTAAAAGGCTCCTCCTATACAGGCGTGGAAACAGATTTAAATAAGTTTGTTTTTAACAGTACTGTTATACTTTGACTTCATCTGAATTTAAAAAAAAAATTATTTTAGATACAACTTTTTTTATGTCTTGTTTCTGCTCACATAAATTGGAAAGAAAAATAATAATAATTAAGGTGTAACATTCTGCACGACAAGCATCTTTATTAAAAATAACTGCTACATTTACCAGGGGGTTTACTTTATTTTTTATTAAATCTATGCATCAAAAAATAATCAAAAATATATATAGCACTATTAACATTCAATGACATTATTTTAGCATCAACAGAAATAAGATACAATAATTATAATTATGTTAGGTATTTAAGTACTATGTTTTTTGAATAAATACTTCAATACAGTGAAGCTTAATGAATGTTTTCCACTGAGAGAATTTCATGCCAGCCAACACCTAGTTCTTGGAATCACCTGGTTTTCCTGAACTACCGAAAATAAAACTTTGTTGGCATAAAAACTACTGAGAACATCTGTATATATCCGGCCCATAAGAACAATAGTTATATTACAAAATCCTCCTGTGATTATTATCGACATAGACCCCTGAAGCTACAATAAGCAGCCCAACAGAAACAGTAGATAACAAGTCATGCATTGTATGTAAACAATGGCAAACAACTATTCTAGACAACATTTTTTTCATAGAGTACATGAGAATCTCAGAAGCATCTCACTTACATCAAAGGAAATCCTTACGTTGGTGTCCAAACAATTGGTGTTGAGAATAAATCTCAACCTTTACAAATGTTCTAAGATTCAGCACACTCCTCAAAATAATCGCTGTGCCCGTCTTTTATTGTCCAACCCAGCACTGTAAAATTTAATGTTCTGAGGTTTTGCCACCCCGTTCAGGATAGAAAAATAAGAATGAGCATGACAGCGAGCGGACTCTAACCTGACTAAGGTTAAACATTGACAGGCTGCGAGACATTGGCTAACTCTGACCTAGAGGACACAGAAAGTCATCAACTCATGCAATGTAGAGTGGTTTCCGCTGGTTGAGTCATTGAAACGACAGCCCACAATTAAGGTTATGACAACACTGATTATAATCCATTTAGAAGTAAATTATAGTTATGGGTTTGTTTTATTATTAAGTTTGAAGACTGTAAATATAGAACTCCTTCAAACATATTCATGGTATTATGTTTAGTACCATAAACACAGTACTACATTGTTTATAATATTGTTATTCTTATAAACGCTTGAGGAGCTGTAAAGGCATTAGGATGTGAAGCCTTCCTGGTAGGTCTGGTCTTTAAAGATAAACAGAACCAGGCTCTGTGGACCTGTAAGACTGGGCCTCAGCCAGACTTAGCACAGTGAGCTACTATCCTCCTCTCCCTCTCTTTTTTAGAGCAACATTTCACTTTCCCGCTCTCTCCTTTCCTCTCTCCAGCACAGACAAAGACGCCTTTAGGAAAAAGTCTGGTCTCCCACAGAGTTGGAATCACCATAAGCAATGAGAAAGATGAGTAGAGTAAAAAAAGTAATAAAGGAAAAGCAGGAAACCCTGCTCTGGCAAGGAGTGCAGTGAGTGCAGTGCTGCGACGCTGCAGGAACTCCGTTACAAAAGTGCTCTTTTTATACGCACATGCACAAATACACACACCGCTAATGGACCTTTCAGAACCACTAAGTCCCTTTCACTTGACTAAACAGCATTCATAAGGATACATTACTACCCCAAGTTCATAAAAAATATTTTCTGATAAGATTTCAGACATCCATTACTCACAAGAGGAACTATTCTCTGATTTCACTACTAAAAGAAATGTTGGATAAACATGCACCTGTTTCAATATTTATAATACGCACACCTGAAGGCACTTCAGATGGACCAATTAATCCAACACATTCAGAACCCACACATTCACAGAAAGAACATGCAAACTGCATGCATAAAGACCCTGGCTCAGATTTGAAAACGTTATCTTCTTGTTACAAGGAAACATGGCTAAGAGCTGGGCCACTGTGCAGCAACACGTTAAACATGAGCAATAGACTCAGTTCGACTCAGTTTATTTACAAAGCACAGAGTCAATGACTTTGCGGTTATCACTACCGAACAAGCACATAGTGACAGCAGCATGTCAACTGACTGATGTTTTAGATCGAGGTACTACAAAGAAGTAATTCAAACAAAAAATGTATCACCCTCTCAAAATAATAATAATAAAAAAAGACACCCTTGCCTTCTAGACATGCAGTTATTTTGCTTGAAGGACATAGCTACAGTATACAAATGCTAGAACAGAAGCAAATGTGTAAAAACTACTTTGTTTCTAAATAAATTTTTCTTCATTTATTTTAATTTAGTGGCAACTTGTCCACCCATGTCATTGGGTGAGAGATGGAGTAGGCCCTACAAGGATGTCCTTAGAGTCAAAGACAATAGAAGTTATAATGTGCAACCCTGTAATACAAGACATAATTTCCACATGCACATTGACTGATTAGGTCATTTGATCAAATGCCCTTGATATGGGTTCATTACTTCAATCAAAATTGACAAATAGTGGTAATCCATCCATTCACAGGACTGACAACCACAGATACACATACACACTCTGATGTACTATTTGGAAAGAGTGATTATCAAAAACATGACATTGTTGCCGTTCTTAGATTTGTAGGAACGTGACTCAAGCAGAACATTGTCCGAATCTTCCCCTAAACAATACGGGTCTTCATGTGTTACAGCAACTTCAGACCCATATTTTTCTGGTACTATGTTTATTTTTTATGTGTAACATTATATGCATAAAGCATGCCAAAAGAAAAAATGTGACAGTTTAAAGTAGACTGTGTCACAGCCCTGCCCAAAACAATGAGTACAACTGAAAATTACAATAAAAAAAAGGTACAAAGTACTGACAACATATCACTTCTTGTTACTGTATCTTTTGTTCATTGTCATATTGCATTTATAATGTGATATGACGGAATAAAACAGCAATTCTTTTGGCAGATCTTAAAAGATAGCACAGAAAATATTGGCTACCTAGTATAAGGTTTACTGTTTATAACAGCAATCAAGATTGGTTCCCTGGCCTTGAACTCTCAAATCTCCCTTTCTTAAATGGAGGAGGGAAAAAGTATTTCAGTGGTGATTCAAATATTCAAGTCTTTTTCTCTTACCATCTGTCATTTTTATTTGAAAATGATTGTCCCCTGCTGTCTACTTGGTCGTCTTAAGTTGTGAGTTATTATTCAGCAATTGAACAAAGCATCCACTCTCAAATCTGTCCCAACAAAGTAAAGGCCACCCTGCAATTAGCTTAAGTCTGCTACTTACAATTAGCAGAGAGAGCTATCGGAGGGCAAAGCACACTCAAACACAGCCTGAATGAATTATAAGTTCTTAAGAACAACTTTGCTGCAAACATTTTCTACGCATTAGGATCTGTTGGCTAAATAACTGACTGTCATAGATAAAGTGATGATCATTGCAATCAACTACTTTTCGCACAGATGGGTGACATAGTTCCCTACTGAAACAAAGCAATAATGTCTATAATCAAGGTGAAATGACAGATAGCTCAGATGGTGCCGACTACCTGCTGGAAGGGAAGATTTATAGTTTTATTCCAATGATGGCGATTATGTTTCTGGCTTTCGACTCCAAGCAACACCCATCCTTGAGCTGAGCTGTCCTCAATCACATTGACGTAACTGACTGACTTTTTGTATGTATGAGAGTCGCGGCATCACAAGAGACAATAGTTGGTTTGTCAAACTCAATAGAAAACAAGTGACTGACAAATTTTCACGTGGATTCCAAATCAATCAAGGAGTATTTGATCTCAAAAAGGTTGCAGTTCACGTGTTTAACTATGACATTGTCAGAAGCACTACGTGCAGTCTGACATAGTTTCATACTATACTACAGTCATACTACTTTATGTGAGCTTATATATTTTATAGCTTATATATCTTAAATATTTTCTCCTTCTAATGTTTCCTGTTCAGAGGAAAGATGGTGAAGGTGAAGGCTGCACTGCAAGTACAGGCAGTTTAGGGCTAAATGGTAGCAACAGGCTCATTATAAGTCAGCCTGGTAATCAGGGAAGACGCAGGAAACACTGTTGTACACAAGTTTAATGAAACATCAGCAAGACCATTTGGT